TTGGTTTAATTTTGTCAAAATAAGCAAATCATCATTGCTGATGAATAAGTAACTTTCAAGTAAATAATTTAACCTCATTGAATCCGTATTCATGTGACCTTCAAATTAACTCCTTATGTATAGATGAGTTACGCATAAACTAGGCGTGTTCAGCTTTTAAATGGAAAATGAAATCAAACGACCTAGAAATATTCAATTGCACGTGTTCGCTATCTTTTAATATATATGTTTATGTTTATATCGGCCATATGACCGTCGAAAGTCGCCGGAGATCACTTCGTTGGTTGATTAGATGGCGACTAGATTAAACCACACACGAAATGCTGATACATATTATCGAGTCCATGAATAGTAAATTGTTTATTTTAGACTTTCTATAATTTGGATATGCGTTTTAGTATGTTATAAATCAAAGATGAAAATTTGAGTCAAAGTCGATGAACATTAATTTGTCAGCTAATGCCCCTTTAAAATACGTAAAAATGATTTATGCAGTGACAAAAGAAGTCTTTGATCTGTGGAAAATAGTAAAAAAATATTTTTGTAAATAACTTTGAGTTTAACCCTAAGTCCTCGTTGGTGATAGGAAGCTGAGATAGTTATTTACAAATGACGAAACCGTGAGCTACCACTAGAAATTAAAAAGGGTAGATGCTTGGTCCAAGAATCCAAAGACATCATCATGTAAAATAGCTTAATAAAGCCAACAGTAGTATACCGGTGTTCAAAAGTCATACATCGATTGAGAGACATTAGCTTATATAAATTGTGTAAAAACAGATCAGCAACATTTGAAAATATATGACGAATACCAAGGAAAGTTCGGAATGTAGTATTATAATATACACATATGTAGAAAAAGAAAAATACCAAAAATACCGAGCTTCGAGGAAAACTCAAAACAGAAAGTCCCTAATCAAATTGCAAAATCAAAAGCTCAAACACATCAAAGACATAGATAACAACTGTCATACTCCTGACTTGGTACAGACATTTTTTCATATGAAGAAAATGATGGATTAAACCTGGATTTAACCTGGTTTTATAGCTAGCTAAATCTTTCACTTGTATGACAGTCGCATACAAATTTTATTATAGACAACAATGGGTGACCAAAACAGATATAATACATGTAGGTATAAATGTCAAAATTAGGGGTACAGCAGTCAACATTGTGTTATTATCTTAATCACTAAACAAAAAACCAAATATGTCAACAAAGAAAAACAAAAAGGCATACAGACAAAGCATATTAGAAAAAAAAACGAAAAATAAAGATACAAAAAATTTACCATGATAGCACAACAATACAATAACGGGATGTAAGCTCTTGAATACCGAATGAGTTGGGAAAAGTATATATTCTATATACAGGCGAGGTTGGTATATTGCTACTAAGGTGGGGGAAATTGATAATTTCAAAATAAATTAAAATCGTCTCGTTTGTCATAGATTCTGGTACTGAGATGACCGCTTATGTCAAATTCGAGGTCTAAGCCTGAAAATGAAGCAGAGGAAGACGTGTCTATTGTTCCCTATTTCTATTTCTGGAAGATATATTAATGGATTCCAATCAGAAAAATTTTGATTGTTAATGGAAAGAAAATCATCAATATATATGAATGTGCAATTAAATGATCTGGCTTCTTTGATCTTCTTGCATTTTACAAGTGTCTGAAGAAACTCCGACTAATATGAAAATAAGAAGAGGCCGGTAAGGAGATTCGCACAGTTCGTTCCAAAAGGAATGCACACAATTTGTTGAAAAAGTCTACCTCCAAGTTCAACAAAGATGTTGTCAATAAGAAACTCCAACATACGGATCACTTGTTCCTTTATGTAGCATGTTTTACATTTTTGTTCACTATTAAAATGATATGCCGTATTGTACCCCAAAGTAATACATTTATAATTTATGCTACCATTTTTATGTTGAAAAGCATAGGGGATTATTTCTTTCAGACAATTTTCAATTTCACATTGGGAATGGTGGTATACACGGTTGAAATATCAAATGTTTGGTAGAGCTTATTTCAGAAAAAGATCGAGATTTAAAATTATCCAGAAGTTATTTAGATTTTTTTTTAATCCACATATGGTTAATACAACTACACGAGTAAACAGTTTCACAGTATTTCTAAATTTCCTCTTTCGTTGCGGACAGATTTTTTTGTCAAATCTAATGGACAATTACTTGGAGGAGCAATCAAATGACCCGGCAATGTACCGTTGTGTTTGCAGAATTTTGTGAAGCTTATGTATTCTATACAAATAAGGTAAGTCATCCGATTTGCATTTCAATGTAATGTGCAGTGAAGCCATGAAGGACTTGTGATTCGCCAACATCTCATCCTTGTCAAATGATATGTTATTGTATGTGGGATTACCTGAGTGCTCATTTATTCCTATTTTTTTACAAGACACTCGTAGTAGTACGATGTACACACAAAGACAATATTATTTGAAGCTTTGTTCGCAGGAACAACAACATACTAATCGTGAAGGGATGATAGACATTTAACAGCTTCTTTGTCACTGTTGTCTTTAGTAGCAGACAATTTTGAAAGTACAAAAATGTATTCTAAACAATGTGTTTCCTTTAAGAAGTAAGTGTTCATCTGGTTTAAGCGAGCAAAAGTACATACGATGACAACGCTTTAGTCTTTTTTCGCAAGTATTTCAGTTGTATTCATATTTTCCTAATTTTTTTTCAATGATAACTATTTTTAAGTATAAACCAGTCAAAATTTCCTTCTATTACACTTTTATACAGGTTTTGATATCATCTGCTTCTTTCGCGTATTGATGGTAACACATCCGGTTTTTTTTCAAAGAAAAATGAACCATAAATAATATGCACATTAACGAAGGACAACAGAACAAACAAGATAAAAAAAAATAACGCATATGAATAAGTTATTAAAATTTTACACTCTTTGTTTGAAAGTTCTATTTCTGCTTTGAGTACTGTTACCATGTCCTTGCAGTATTATTGAATAAAAACGGTCGTTAAACTTATAAAAACACGGGACACATATTCAGTTCCATCTTATTTCACGTTTGTTACGTTTTTAGTAGATAATTTATTGATATTATTTTAGTATATTTCAGTATACTATAAAAGTTGGATGACAACAATGCATAAATTAAAATAAGATATACACAATGGTATAAAAAATATGTCTACATTATAATAGTCCTTTACAAATAATGAAAACAACAACAAAAGTGTATAAGATATCTTACTCTACGAGTGGTTTAGTTAGGTAATTGTTTTTAGGAAACAAATGTCCACAAAACATAACAGAATATGTTATCAATGCTTGATAATGTCAGTTTCATAGTATTCTTTATTTGAATCAAAATGTTTTTTTACAAAGTACAAATTGTCCCTCCCATAAACAAAATATTTGTATCTAAGTTTGCCGTTCTGTTTTATAAAACCAAGTATGCAGTTGCAATAAATTGTAAAAGGCCTACCAATTCTTACCTAAATTGACCATTTAAGTTTGGTGTTTGAAATCTTTACTTGAAAGAAAAAATGGACAATATTACAGAAGTTGAATCACAAATGTGCACCCTAGTACCTATCTAATCTTGTCAATCAATGTGTACTAGTACAATCAAATATCCGTTTAGAAATGTTCAAGACATAATCGTTTCATTTTGAAGAATATCCCTTTATACGGGGTCTGTTCTTTCTTCCACGGTACGTTAATGGAATAAACTTGATCTAAAAATTCAAAATATCGACTTTATATCTAAATTCAAGAAAGTAAAAAGTTAATCAAAAATATGAAATATTCTACCTTCATTAATTTGTGTTGATACTTGTTCTTACCAGCATCCTTGACGAAGTCATAAACAAAACCTTAGTCATTATCACATAATAATATGATTTTTTAAGATTTAAGTCTTATTTTTCTTTTCTGTTATTATTTTGATTTATATAAGGTATAATGTAAAAAAAGAATTTTCATTTTACATGCATGTCCAAAATATTATCATGATTATTAAAGAGAGGCGGAATATACCAAAGGGATATCTATACTTTTAAATGAGAAGACCTCATTTTGTGTGTCGCTTCTCTTCTTTCCACAATAAATTAATCATCATGCATCTGTGTCCTATAGGTACCATGCATAGTCGCATTTGTCATCCTCGCTTATGATTATTCAGTTTCGGTTATTCTGGGAGAAAAACGAAAATAAAGGCGTCCGAATATTGTTTCCGTCATCGGACGGACTTTTAAGTCATGGACTAGACTTCCGTTTAGGACTGTTTATAAAATTACACATAATTTTTATAGTACGTGGGGACAGGACAATTATTTTCGCGTTTTTCTGTATACCATGATCATATATATACTATAAATAAAGTGTATTTGCTATTTACTATCAATTCAAAGTTTACTATCCGCGGCTGTCACTGATATATTATATAGAGATTCTCTATAATGACTATATCGCCTAGGATAATATTACAACTTGGAATTGATAGTAAATAGCAAATACACTTTATTCATAGTATATGTATGTTCATAGTAACAGAAAAACAGAAAACAAAAAAATAACGGACTTTGGAAAAAAGGGGGAGGGCTAAAAAAATGTCCTTTCATTAAGTACCTATAACTTTTGATACCTCTATTGAAATTCTCCAGTCATAAAATCTTTTACAAAAAATCATCCTACAACAGTTTACATACTTTCAACCACACTCTAAATGCCCGCGATTTCGCGGGTGTGTTTCTAGTATAATTTATATATATATAAAGTCGAAAACATGCCATTTTATCTCTAAAATTTACCATGAAAGACTTTAGTTTTTACTTTTGGCTTAGTTTCGGAAATGACAGATGTTTAAATTAAATATTCAAAATTGAATTGATCCTTAACTATTGTTTTGGAGTATTAACAATTATTTCCTTTAGTATGTACACTTACATTTATAAATTTGAATAAAAAGTAACGGAAACATGAAACGATTGTTACATATTGTGTTGCTAGAAACGAAACAACAACAAGGAATTATAACCCAGTGCATATAGATAGAAATTGATAATGGTAAGCCTAATTTTGTGTCCATTTTTCATCTTTTCTCCTTTCACATAGTTCCTAATAATTGCTATATTTTTTGTACCTAATTATACATACCTCATCGTATAGTTTGTATTTCTATGATTTAGCATGTCAATATATTTTACTGGTTTTACATTTGTTATGTCGGGGCTTTTAGTAGCTTTCAATGCGGTATGGATATTGCTAATCGCCGAAAGATATAAAGTGACCCATAGTTTCAATGTCATTTGGTAATTATACCACATCTCCTTGTTTTATTTATTCTGCTCAAAGAGTGCACTTGAAAACTCAAAAAGTTTTGATGCGTTTTTGGAACCTCATATCAATGCAGGTTTTGCATTTCACAGGAAATTTACAGGAACACCCAACAGGGTAAAATGCATGTCGATGAAACACCATGTGTATGTATACACTAGTTTTTACGTAAGGCTTCCTGGTTTTCAAGGCTTCCTGGTTTTCAAGGCTTATGAAGTTTATATATTCTGGAGTTCATATCGTTATCGTTGAAATAGTTTATATTTTAAAGAAGATTTGGTTCGGTTTTTGAAAAAAAAACAACATGTACGTACGGTTCTTTTGAATTTATACGAAAAGCTCTGACTACTTAGTAAAAAAGTAAGCGTAGTGCTTGTTAAATATACCTTGTTCACATGCATGCTAACACTCTCATCAATACGTATAGATAAGAAGATGTGGTATGAATGCCAATAAGACAACTCTCCATCCAAGTCCCAATGTATAAAAAGTAAGCAATCATATATCAAAGTACGGCCTTCAACAAGAAGCGTTGGCTCACACCGAACAGCAAGCTATAAAAAAGGGTCCCAAAATGACTAGTGTAAACCAATTCAAACAGAAAAACCAACGGTCTAATCTTAAAAAAAAAACGAGAAATGAGAAACAAAATATATACTATTAATATAATAACACTCTCGGTGACGATTTGGTACAGTCAAGGTAATGTCATACTCCTGGACTAACAGATGTTTTGGTCAAATCATTTTTTAAATTCCCTACTTATGTTTTGCCAATGGTGTTTTATATAAACAACCATTGCCTGTATTTTATTGATGTGACATTATATAACTTGAAATTATTAAAGCCACTTTATTCGTGAACAAATCATGACCTGTGTGATATTTGAAACAATCATTCAATAATATTATTTACTAAGACATATAACAGGTGTGGGTGTCTGTCCTGTTAATCCTATATATGCTGAAATCAATCGAAGTATTAAAGTAACCCTAAGAAAAGAATTACTTATCTAGATTTGACACAACCTAATGTTTTTGAAACCCAGTTTTAATAAGTTTTAATCATAAATAATGTATTTCTTTGTAGATAAACATGAAGATTTGTCTTATATGGTTATTTCTCCAAGGTAAGACCATATTCAGGATATTGAAAAGGGCTTAAAAATACAGGTATAAAAAAATGAGGCCGGTGATGCCAAAGAACACTCAAAACTTATATATCGAGAGAAACCGGAAACGCCATGACTACCAATAGATTAAAATTGATAATAGAAATAGGGAATGTATCAAAGAGACAACAACCCGACCAAAGAGCCGAAAACAGCCGAAGGCCACCAATGGGTCTTCAACACAGCAAAATATCCCACACTCGCAGGCGGGTTTCATATGGCCACTTACAAAAATGTAAATAGCAAGCAAATTTTTAATGCACTACATAGATAACAAAAAAGAGCAAAGCGATAAAAAGGATATCATGCCCTGCAAAAAGGTAAGTAGATGCTGATTCAAAATATGTATGTTTTATTATTTCAACAAGGTATACGCTACGGATTTGTTAAATGAAGTAGAAAATAGGAGTTTGCTGCAGATGAATACTGATTCGGTTGTATGGTTTCATAGACTTATGAAGTTTGAGATATTAAGTGGTGTCATTGACTTCTCGTAGCATGCAACCCGACCTTGAGGTAGATTAATCGGATGAAGGAAATAGTTCATTGTTGTCTTTGTTTTCAAAACAAAATGCACACTTCTAATCACTCAATCAATTAATACATATATACATCAATTAACCAATTCATCGAAACAAAAGGACGGAAACATCATGTTTTTCAATATTTGAGAAAGTTGTTTCGTTTTGTCTCATTTATTGATAAATAGATGTGAACATGTTATCAACGATGATCTGGAAGGAGCCGTATGATTGGTCGTCTACATCGTAACCGACATATAATCCTGACAAAACTGATATTTTTCTCTTTTTGTTTTGAGACGCAGTACCTCCTCTTTTTCTTCAAAAATATAAAACATATCCTAACATGTACATATGATAATACATGGGAATTTCCCATTTAAGTGACGAATAATGGAGTGATCATTTATTTAGTAATATAATTTCGAGTGTAAAAAAACCTGTGCATATTTGTGTAAACTAAAATACTGACTGTCCAGAAATATTTTGTTTTAAAATTTATCCTTATTTGTATTCGACTCGTGTTTTTAAATTAGCCACGGAAGTTGTGGGATATGTTTTTCAAATAAATTAAAAAGCATGCACTTAGAATCTGTAATAATTCCAAAAAGTGTACAATCTGATATAATCAGACAACTATCCACAAGTGTTTAATTGACTTGGATTTAAGCCATTAGTGATCATCGGAGTGCCACTGTAGCAATATCATTTAATAGATACCATTTAAATAAAAAGACAGAGTAAACAGCAGGTCAACAGGAGGTCAACAGACACATTTTTGTTTTTTACCCCAGTCTGACCAGTAACGTTCTTACTTATCATCGTGAAAATGTTTTTATAAAAGCAGGTTTATCTTGGTCCTGAATAAAACTCTAGGAGAGCCTTACTCATAGTAAACATGGAGACAAAAGTAAGAATCAGTAAATAAATATATACAAAAATGTTAAAAACATAAAATATGGAGCTAAATTATAATTTTCATTCCAAAGTATTTTTATTCTTTTTTAATTATTTCAGACCAATCAAAACTCGCCGATTCAATCATCACAGTTCACACAACGGAAGGGTCAACGGTAAATCTGGCATTCAAAATCATTAACTCAGAGATAGATGTCCGTTTCAACGAAAGATATATATACTGTTATGCAGACCATAAAAAGGTTATCACCAACAAATACGACATGATAGTACGTCCGAATATTTTAGAAATTCAGAAAACAAATGTAACAACAAATGACACAGGGATTTACTGGTTAGACGATCAAGGTCTATCAGCTGCATTAAAGCTAAACATAACGAGTAAGTTTACCGTTTTTATGCAAACGTGCTATCTGATTGGTTTTAAAACATTTTTTTTTTCAATTTATTAAGATGTCAGTTGATAATCGTCAGTGTCAAATGATACATACGAAGTAAATAAATCAATATATATATATAAATATGTAGAACGAGATGACTGAGTAATCTGAGAAAATGTGTCCAGAATATTGTAATGTTTTATATAGCATACAGTGGAATTATCATTGATTCCAGTAAACACACACACCACAAAACTGAAATGTTAAACAAATGTTAAATCACAATTGTTATATTTCTCAACGTTAGATGCATCATATATTGCATTTTAACGTCTATGTTACATGATCATATGGAATACTAAAGAAATAAAGTATGTGACAAAGTTACTCCAAATAGTATGTTTAATATATGATATACAATTAAACCAAAATAGTAATTAAGTTGACAACGACTTTATATTCCACGGCTTGTGTTTATCTCCAAGTTTTATTTGGCCGAATGATATGAGAATAGAAAAGCTGTGTGTTCGGCACCCAAATATATAAGGTGCATACACTTGTATATTCTTATTTGTAATTGTAGATATGTCCTGTCCTCCACATGCAATTGAACATGTATGTTCTATTGAGGGATCATCATCAATACTAACATTTATATTCGAAGGACCTCTGTATTATAGCACTATTAAAGATGGACCTTTTTTTGGAAAGAAGTCTCGAAGACTAAAAAATTATACAATACATGTAGACCTTCTCATTTACAATGTTACCCTTAAAGATGAAGGCTATTATAGATGTTATATGTATGATTTCGGTCGGGTACAGCTGGTAGTAGTCAGTAAGTAGTTATCTATAAAATGGTATTTTGGGCGGATACAACTAGTTACTATTACTACATATTAGTTTAATTTATAACAAAGTAGTTAAAATATTATCACTCCGAATCCCTCTCCTCTGTCAGTTCAGGTAATACATAAAATACAGATGTAAATTATAACTGGAGTTAAGATATAATAAGTAACTACATTTATTAATAACTTGATTGCATGTATGTTAGTTAAAGAGTATATAATAAACAGGGGTGGGTTAGTCGTAATTGGTAATCGTAATCAAAGTTATTGATAATATTTGTTCAACTAATCGATTGTAATCTGTAAGTGTCCACAAAATGATTTCATTTATGTTATTTTGTCAATTCAAGCACACACTATAATGTAGCAATCGATTAAATTCTCATTATATTTCGATGACTGTAGTAAAATAGTTTGTGGAAATATATTATAGTTTAAATGAAAATCAACAATTTCATATATATGTTTGATATACTAGAAAGTTTTAACATGACTTTAGATTTCTATCAAATAACTTTTTTAGATCTGTTGTCGTCGTCTCCAGCAGCTTGATATTCAACAAGACTGTTTAACAAAAAAAACCGAATAAACATACCAAACTCCAAGACAGATTCAAAAAGGGGGAGTCCATAATAAACTGACAAAATCAATCACCTGAACAAGTGAAAAACAAATGCAATATTCATGACTTGGTACAGGGATTTGTTCAGTAATACATACATGTATCCCATTTTGACACTCAAAATATACAGTTAAACTTGGGTAAACCGAAATCTAATAAATTAAACTCCATGCACAAAACTCTTTGTAAAGAGGACCTTGTGTATTTTACACATACGTTTTATAGGCTCTTTTGATTTCACCGACATATACCAATCCGAAAAGATTTCATTGTAATCCATAAACCAGATTTGTTTTGTCATTATTAAGCTCATCGTTGCTCCTGGTATAGTTAGACGTTTTAGTTAAATTGTACGTACATTGTGTTTTCGCAACTAAAAGTTATTCATGATATAAAGGATAACATTGTTATCAAGACTATGTAGTTTGTGTGTTGTCCCCCAACGTAACATGAAATAGAACATATATGGTTTTATTGTATACCTAAATTACATGTTCTTGTTAAGATAGGCAAAACATAGAGCATTGGAAGTGATTACAATATCAACATAAACACAGTAACTATTTTTGTAAGTTATATGAAAACCCGTTCTCTAATTACAGAATTATGGTTCATTAAAGAAACGGATCGTAACAATATAGTTGGACAAGAGGGAACAGAACTGGAGATCAAATGTTCAGCTGACCCTGTACAGTTCATCACTGCTTTACAGTTAGAATCAAATGGAACAATCAAAGCTATTGGTGATAATCAAAGTGTCAGCTATTCGTTTATACCAGACCGTACAGATCATCTGTCAAAATATAAATGTGTGGACAGTACACACTCGTCAATAATGATTGAAATTAAAGTATTTATAAGGTGTAAGTATGTACAATCATGACAACGTTATATTCAATCTACAAAGCTAAAGTATACTTTTCGTTGGAAATACATCAGGATCATTTTTTTTGCTTTATAATATTCATTTTGAAGACACATTTATTTCGATGTTTTTGTAAAATATTTTTAAAAACATTAGATTATGTTATAATACATACGAAATCCTGTAACAAACAGAATCAAATAAATGGCGATTTAAATACATAATAATTCAAAAGAGTTTTAAATGGGATTTTGAATATATATGCATGTCTGTCAGTTATAAACTCTTAAATAAACAGAGTGCATACAAATTAAGAAAATGAGATAGGGATGTATTATGATTTGTATTATACTGACTTGTAAGCTGACTTTTTAACGTGTGAGTTCTCAATATCATAGTCTGCAGTAAAAAGTATTACCCTACTTAGACACACTTTTATGTGTTGTAGTCGACAAACGATAATTTTTACACTTACATGCAGCATAATGTCACAGTACTAGAAACTTCAAACATTGAAGCCTTTCCTTTGGTGCAGCCGGAAATCAAATTCAGTAATACGCCCTTTGTACGAAGCATACTATATAAGACTATCAAATCGGTTTCGGTTAATCTTAAAAAGAAATATAAATCTTATTAAGCATGCTAATAGATTAACTAAAACACTAAAAACCGCAAAATAATACGTTATCTGGATCCCACTAGATGGCAAACTTGTCAAAGGACACGACAAGTGTGTGTGCTGAAAGCATGGTAGTGTATGTTACAACAGAAACAGACAATTCAACTGAAGAGCAGAATAAAATCTATTTCACTTATATTCTAACATCATTGAATTAGTCTGTGATGCAGGTTTTGTTGAAACGTATGTTATATGTATGAATATGATAAATCAAAAAATAAAACAAAAATCCAACACTGAATTGCAGATTCTCCTGCAGTTACAGTCCATTATACCAATGAGACAATTGAATGTGAATGTGATGGAGTGCCGGACATTTATAGTGTGTACCGGTTAGATCACATATCAAAAAATGGGGAACTCGTCCGATCTGTAAATTTGACGAATGAAACATTCACTATCCAGAAGGATCCTTTTCCGTATCAGATGAATGGTAGATATGAGTGTGTTGTCAGTAATGGTATACCCGATATTGAAGGAAAGGTATTGCAGACGAGGTCAACAAATGTACAGTATGAAGGTACGTTTATCTAAACAGATTTAAATATCTTTAATCTTATTTTAGAGTTATGCATTGCTTTAACCAATAAATTGCAAGACGTCGTACAACATCCTTTAAACACTACACATCTTTAAGGATGAGTGACGACAATTCTTAATTACAAAATAAAAAAACAAGACAAAAACAACAAAGAAACGTTTTTAAACTAATGCAAAAGATGAGTACAAATCAAAAGATTATAAGACGTATTTTGAAAGGGATTAACATACTGATCTAATGTTAAATAACAATACCGATACAAGATTTTGGTTGGACTATCTCAAAATACAATTGCATTGAAAAGTATCTAGGCGTAGCATAGTTTAGTTTGTGGTGGTTCGATACAATATAGCGAACAGTTAACATCGACTCCAAATTTCAAGAAGTCAATAAAACAATTAAGAATAGAAACGGTGAATGTGTCAAAGAGACAACAACCCGACCAAAGAGCAGAAAACAGGACAAGGCCACCAATGAGCCTACAACACAGCGTGAAAATCCCTCACCCGGAGGTGGGCTTTAGCTTGCCCCTTAACAACAATGTATACTAGTTCAGCGAAAATGAACGTCACACTAAACTCCAAAACATATAATTGAACCAAAATTAAAAAAAAAAAACATACAAGTCTAACAATGCCAGGGGTTCCTGTCATGGGACAGGCGCAAAAATGAGGCGGAGTTAAACATGTTTTTGAGGTCTCAACCCTTCCCTTTACCTCTAGCAAATGTAGAATAAACAAACACACAGCAGTACGCACAGTAAAACACAGTTTAAAAGAAGTCAGAGTCCGATGTTGGAATAGGTAACAGAAGAAACTAATCAAAATGGCAATAATGAACATAAATTAACAAAAGACTACTAGCAGTTTCTGACATGCCAGCTCCAGACCTCAATTAAACCGATTGAAAGATTATGTCAGCATCATATTAAAATCAAGCACAATCCCTCCCGTTAGGGGTTTAGTATCATATCATCATAAAATATACGAGAAAATCTTAACCCGTATCATGCGAACAACTGGTTTTAGAGCAAATGTGTTTATTTCTGATGCAAAGACCCTATGAGTGATTCAATATGAATTCCAAAAAATGCAATCTTTAATCACCTGACAACAGTATCGTAACTACATCCCTTCTGAATAAGTCTTTTTAAAGGTTTGGTTAGCTCGTGGGGTCAATGACGACATTTTTGCGCTTTGTATAGGATATTACCATAAAATATGAGATATGAAATACCTGAACGTATAAGATGTCTGCACGCTGATTTATATTTACGAATTATTACCGATGATAAAATTTAGTAAATGTTTTGACAAGTTTGTGATATCGAAAACCCTGGTTTTGTAATTTTTCAGTAATACAGAGATTTCTATCGTTAAAATCAAATACGTTGTTACATACACGAGCGAATCGAACAAGTTGAGATATATAAACACTTTCAGATGATGACAAGGGAGCGTCACCATCTAAAATGAATAATTAACAACCGGAAATGAAAAATCATCGCTTTTATCGTAAATTTTGGTATTAGGCTTCCCGTTAAAGATATAGATATCAATATCCAGGTAAGAGCATTTCATAAATATTAATATATCTATTTGTATTTGTTTAATAACGTAGTGCAAAAAAAACCCCAACGTTAAACAAGAACTAAAAAAGGTAAAAATATGGATGGCGGATTTTACACTCAGATCCAAATATATACATTGATTGATATAAGTAGAATCTGTTGCATAGTCAAATTACCCACACGTTCGGCACACAATTCAACAATGTGAATAAATTATTGTCACCAAAGTGTCAAAAACCCTAAATGTTTTTATCCGTCTTATGGCGTGTTCAAAATAAATTCGATACTCTGATTTTTATTGATTTATGGTTTTATTGCATTTTTTTCCCTTCGCCGTCTTTGTCTTTAATGTTTTCTCCTGTGGTTCAACTTGAGGTCTGTATATCACATTGGATCATCAAAGACAGCCAAAGAATTTGTAAGCTTCGGTCAGTTGCTATGTGGTTGAAACCATTGTACACGACTAGGGCAGACTATATTTTGTGAATAGATTTCTCAAATAAAATCGGTATAAGGGCTTTTATATGTATACAAACAGTGTGAGATGAAACGTCAAAAAGTAAACTTGAAATATATATTAACACGGGTAACTACAAAGCTACAAAAAACAACTGACAGTAGACGAATAATTGGCGAAAATCTGTGTAGTGTTTCAGAGGATGTATTATTGGGGCAATTGCATTTGAAATATAGTTTCTGTTATTTCTCCACAAGAGTGGTAAAATGCAAATCGATGATTTGAGAAAAGAGAAAATACACCTTTCCTAGGCCACATATCATATTTCCTTTGCATACACGACTTCACAGACAAAATTCGAATTGACCGATGACAATGTTTCTTAAATTAAAGCATACAAGAAAAGATAGTTAAACATCAAAATGGATTGAGCATATATGATAGAAATATCCATCAAGACGAGGGGTGAAATATGTACGAGCATCGCTTTAATAAACTGCTTGATATTCTTTTACATTTTTTAAAAGGTGCAAAATTTCCGTCTTTTACACGATATACAATTTCAAAAGTAGTTATGCTTTCGGTATGAAAATTATTTCGAGGTTCATGGAAAAAAAATAAGATGGAATGCAAAATACCTTGTACTATTTAGGGTATTAATATTATAGAGTCTGTGTTTTCATTTAATTGACCGATCTAGAAAGAAGATGAAAAGACTTTTATATCATTGTTTAATTTTTTAATTAGAATTTAAAGCTTTACTTTTAATTAATCACTACTATGTAACAAGGTAATTTTTTATGATTCCAATAAGAAAAGTATGAATATATATAAATAATGATATAATGCGTTAGATCATCGTCTGCTCATTTTGAAAAGTAAAATAACAAAAATACCGAACTCCAAGGGAAATTCAAAACGAAAAGTTCCTTAACAAATGGCAAAATCAAAAGCTCAAACACATCAAACGAATGGAAAATAAATTGCATATTCCTGACTTGGTACCGCCATTTCTTTATGTAGAAAATGGTCGATTAAACCTGGTTTTATAGCTAGCTAACCCTCTCACTTGTATTACAGTCGCATGGAATTTTATTATATTGACAACAATGTGTGAGCAAAACATAATACGTAAATATGTCAAAGATATATATTGTTATTTTATTGCTTAAAAATCATCTCGGCAATATCAAACAAATACATACAGGTACTATATTGAATGATTATCAGTGATTTTAGAGACGGTCAACCTGTAGCCTGTAGGAGTATTCGTATTTAATATCCACGCCAGAAATCGTATTGAATTTACTAACACGTCAATTCAACATGTTAATTACACACATAATACAAAAAAAAAAAACAAGTAGATATATATTCCATATGCAGGCGCTTTTGATACAATAATTGTCCATGGTATAATCATGTACTGAAATATATGAAATATAATTAAAATGGATTGCATAGGTCTAAATATACAATATTAGATGTTGCACTAGATGATATAATTGTTTGTAGAATATTTCAAACCGTTCGTTCCTATACGTTTTTGAAGATTTAGCTTTTTTATTATTATTAAAAGGCTAATATTGCAGGCTAAGCGAATTAAAATATGCTTGAAATAGTAATTATATTTCGTTGAACGCTTCTTACTGCGAAGACATCTTCAACACAACACAGGGATATGAGCCACACACTGAATAATAAGGAGGGGAAACATATATTTTCTTTCGTGTCTATGTTTATGTCTGTACTCATTAGTGAAATGTTATCGTGGTATTAGAAAAAAAAAATAAAAAAGAACACTTTATACATTCCATGCCTCCGAAACGCTTTTCTTGATTTACCTTTATCATAAATGCTCCGAGCCAAAACTTTGAACGACGTGAATATATATGTATAAGTATCGAAAAACTTAAAGTTTTACAGCAATATAATTTAAAAATCTAAGTTTAATATTGCCACAGAAAATTAGTTGTTTAAAGGTAGATTAACTGTAAATTGGATCTTGGATTGCAAAATAGCAGTACACAATCGGTCTTATTCTTTGCCTAAATATACAAATTTTGAGACATAATTGCAATTATGTGCAATTTTTTTTTAAATAAAGAAAAAAAAGTTGTTTATTGCATTATTTGACTGTTTTTTAAAATACCAAATATTTGTGTTTGTTTGATTATTTTTTTCTGTCAATTTAGCCATATAAGGGGAAAAACTCTCATAGTAGAATTTTGTAGAGGAATATTAAAGATATTTTTTTTTTTGAAATATTCAAGTTCGGTGACACCATTTTTTGATTTTACATTTATTTAAGCATATTATAAAACCTATCTTCTCATATTTCAATCCAAAATTCTGAAAGATTTCTTCTATTCACAAAAAAAAAGGTGTTTTTTATGAATAATCTATACAAAATTTGGCAATTGTGCACAACTTGTAGCTTGAAAAATAATAGTACGGTGACCCAAACTTGGTATTATATGTGTGAAAAAAACCATGGTAATATCTACATTTTAGCAACTTATAAGAACATTCTATCTAAGTAAATTCATGTATATAGTGATGATCAATATTAATATTTTTTTCTAAATGTATGACCAGATACCAGAATAACCTTCCGATCTAAATGCCCGATAATTAACTATTCCCGATTGTGCATTGCTTACTAACTGTAGATAGCGTATTGCCGGAGATGGACGCATTTATTTATCAGGAAACGCGTACCGTGTCGACGTATCTGACTTGCTCATATTGGAGTGTTTTTGTTTTTGTTTTAGTTGCATTACTTTGATTTTTTTCTTCTGAAAGGATCTGAACATCGGTAAAGAAATGCGGCGTCCAAACAGCTAATTGTGGAAACATTTCACAAGCCTACATCTCAAATTAATAGCGAGGAAGTATCTAGCATTACTAATAAATCTATCCTTATCACACATTTCTTATTAATTTTAATTTCAGTCAATGTATCGGCATTAACAGTTTTATATTTTATGTAATATTTATTTTTAAATTTGTTTTTGTACATACACCAGGCAGTTATTTTGTCGTTTTACATTTGTCATTTCGGAGCCTTGTATAGCTGACTATGCGATATGGGTTTTGTTCATTATTGAAGGCAGTACGGTGACATAAAGTTGTACTTCTATATCATTTGGTCTCTGGTATAGTTTTCAAAACACTTCAACCACACTCGCAAGCAGTGGTTCTTGTCACAACTGCATGTCCGTACTCAATGACATTGATAAATCAAGCTAGTTCTGAGGAAGCATGACAATCCAGAATTTGTCGGTCACTAGTAACAAACGATTCTATAATATAATTATTTCCCTTTTGCCGCAAAACGATAACTATAAATACTAATCAATCAAACTTTTGTATGGAAATATACATTCCTACATGAGAAAAGGACATACATTTGTTTAACATAATTATTTCAACCAGCCAAAATACCTTACAATGTAAATATTTATAAATCACAAGTATTTGAGTTTGTTTTCTTTTAAGGCTCACCTGTATTTGCAAAAGACAATAGACACGTGACAATTGGAAAAGTCGGGCACTCAATCAAATTGTCATTTCTTATCTACAGTTACCCGGATGTTGAAGAAATATTCCTTGAAAAATTAGGACGCACGTATAGTAGAAAGAGAAAAATTACAAATTTCAATATTTCTAATTTTACATTGCGTTACACAGGATTTGAAAATAAAATAGGAATCCAAGGTTATGAAATTTTGATTGAAATTGAGATGCTAGACATAAAGGATTTTCGAGCCTATTGTATAACAGCAACTAATCGTCTTGGTGCCAGCGATTACCATTTTGAAATAATAGAGAAAAGTAAGTACAACAAAACAGTATAGGAACGTCTATGTTACTATATTTGTTTATTATGATAATCGACTTGATGAAATGTAACTTTGTTTATGCTTTGTCATTTTGACGATTTTCGTCTTGATCAGGATGTCCTATTAATAATATCTGACTCAATCATGACACAGGCAGTAACGTGGATATAGTGATAATCGGCTATTTCAGTAAAGCATACACTGAACAGTGTATAGCATACTGTAGATTCATTAGTATTTGTGGGATAACAATTTTCTTATGTATTGGTAAACAAAATATTTAACAAAGAACAAATAGCCCATAGGTTTGTATGCAGACGTTGGAAAAACAACGAACTCAATTATCAATAAAAATACAATGTTTCAATTATCCACGGAAATTGGTATCCACACAAAAAATGAATCCACAATAACTTGACTGTTGAAATAAGGAAAGTATAAGACACATTTTAGAGAGATATAGATCAATTTTGAATTTATTGTGTACCCTTTTTGTCGATCTACATGTACATGTGAGTTGGTTTTAATAATGATATTTGATATTCATGTCAATCTTCCAACATAATGTCTTTTAATTTCCCTTTTGAAATGTTCATTGCTAGGTTAATAGACAATTATTTAGTATAAAAAATTGATGATACCACGGAAACTAATTCAAAGACGGTACCAGCATATTGATTTTTTGAGATCACAAATGAAGCTGTTATGTTTAAGGAATTAAACTGCACGAGGTAACGATTGATGACACTGATACATAATTGGCCGTTTGTGAATACAACTGTACGTTATGTTTCCTAGTCTTCGCATACATTTTTTAAAATTACAAGGGTTACAAATATCGTATTTCAATTATGTTTGTCATAATGAGTTAAATTCTTTATATTTTAAAAAAAACCTCTTTACTGTTTATGTTTACTGATTAATGGAAAAGGGACAATGCATTCTTATATTTTGTGAAAACAGGTCTTATCAATAACTTTTAAGAAACAATCGTGTTATTAATTGCAATATTAACAAGACCAGTATTTAATTTGACCGCTATACCAGTCCAGTAGGTCTAATAATGTGCAGCTTTGATTGTTAAACCACATACTGTTAGAAATATTATCATTTCAGAGGATACTGCAGTGACTAAAAGAAAAATTACACTTGTTCTTATACCTAGCATCGTAGTCGTGGTTCTATTTGGTTTTGTAATCATTGTATACGTCTGCTTCTGGGTAAAACGTACACAAGTTCGTGCTATAAGAGATCATAATGTGCCCGATGATCCATATTATGAAGAAATCGAGCCAATTTCTTACCGGGCTGTCAGCAACGTTTGTTCATCACATTCCAACAACATTCAGGACCAGCATTTGACGCACCCAGGTGCATCAGGTATCTCAAAAAGAGTAAATGTACAATCATTTGTTGATAATGAGAGTAATAAATCCGATGAGACAACCTCTGACTTTTTCGATATTCGGTCACTACAGCGTGAAACGACAGAAGTGCATCGAGTTTCTATTTCATCGAATGACGCACACGTTTCTAATATTGGTGTTGCGGGAATACCGTCCACTATTATACAAAGCACAGCCAATGTCGTTAATTGCAATCAATGTGAAGCACACAACATTAAAGAAATCTCAAGTAGTCATATAAGTCAATCAGGTATAGACTTTGGTAGTGGATCTTCTAATAATGTCATAGACGGGAGTGTTGGAGATGAAAATGAAAACCCATACGAATTCATATGGTAAAATCATGGAACTTTGCAAAGTGGTAGTCATGTTATTAATAGACATTTTTGGAAATAGAGCCACGAAAATAGATCCAATATGGCCCCCAAATTAAAGATGGCCGGCATAAGGTACTTGGAACACAACACCATACAGTTGACGAAATCTACCAATATGCCAGAGTTAAGTACATATTCAAGTATGGAATCAAATGAAAGCTCAGGGTATAAGCTTTCCGAATATCATCAGGTGTTTATCTTTGTCGTTCACAATTCTTCTCACAATTGAAATATACACCCCTTCCCCATAAAAAAAAGGCAAAAACGCTAATTTCTTTCAATTGTTAATAAACACCAAAAATATCATGAACAGTTGATTATTTAATGTATTCTAATAAATATTAAGGAAATAGACATATTGGTGTTATTTTGTTTTAGGTTTGAGGATTTGTAGTCAAAATATGAGTAAAAAGTAAATACATTTTTCAGATTTCCAGATTTGTCACGAGTTCGCCTTCTTCTGCCTCTGATGACCAATCTTCTTTTGCTAAAACAATTTGAATTATCTCAATTGAAACAAGAATGCTAAAGTTATCATAAAAATACCAAAAATTGATAGTTGTAAAAGAATAAATACTACAAATATTGAAGCATATTACGATAACTACCAAAATTTTCAATTAGATATTAATAACTTTAATAATTCAACCGAAGTACAATTAAGCAAAAAATGGTAATAACTATGTACCAAAGATCAACTTTGAAACCAATTGCCTTCATTGATATCATTTTGTAGTCCAGGTTTTGGTATAACAATCCGTATTTTTCAAGCAATACAAATTTCGAAAGCTGTTTTGTAGTCACAGGCGTGAGAAAATGGACATTTTGGATTTTAATTTTCACTATTTACTTCTATTTTTTCATTTTTTTTTGGATCATGTTTATTGGAATACGCTTGATTCTAATCGCTATCTTTCCGTCAAAGTGTTTAGGTGACGTTATTTGACGTCATTTGTGCGTTTGTTGGGCATAAAATCTACTTCAGCGTGAGCTAAGGGATGAATATTCCAATGGGGATGACTTCCTCGTGACTGCTTCGATAACTGTTTGTTTTTAAATGATAAGGCAGCGTTGGATTATGTACATAAGAATTAAGACGGGTGTTTGAAAAATGTCAAGCAGTCACAATTACTTTATCAGTTCAAAGATGCAGGGATCCAGTTAGCCCATAAAACGATTGAATGACATGGGAATCAGCGTATAGTTAAAGAGTATTTCTGGTAACGGAAATGATATGGATCAAATAAACGTATTGAATACTTATGTTAACATATATTTTTTAATGGCCTCAACAGTAATGCATTATCTTTCAAATGTAAACCGAAGTTTTATAAATTCTACTGATAAAATCGCAGATTAATGGAATATGATAACCCTCTTCAAAACATTTACTGGTACATGAATGAATGAACCAGTGTACTTTCGAAGGACGTGTATTATTTTCAATGTTGTTGTGATTTACGCTGTAGAATTTATCAAATATGTGTGCTTTATAGAATTCTTATACTAGTACATCACTGATTCATTTAGACGATCAAATTCTATTTTTACAGATGTATTTGGTTCTCAGAAAAGTAAAAAAAAAGTAAAAATTTGGATAATCTGAACATTTAGAAAATCTGAAAGGGTCCTTTTTGTAGTTCTGCCGTTACAGGAATTACTTTGTATAATATGGGATGCTTTGAATATAAGTATTTGACAGAAATGCAAAAAAATTATAACAAAATTAATTCTTACATTTATACTTTTAAGCCGTTCTGAGTCATGTTTTTGCTAAAATTTGAAAAGGGAAGGGGTAATGCGTTCCTTTTTAGAAAGATTTTGTTCGACGTGAAACTTGATATCATAGGCTTATAAGAAGCTAACTACAAATTTTCAGTGCAAAAATGTATTAGATATGGAATTAACATTAGTATTTTGAGTTAAGACGGATAAAAAAAAGCAAATTGTGAAAAAAAAGCTGAAAGGTTTGAAAATCAGAAATTGTCTGTTTTTTTCTAAAATTGTTGCAACGAAATAAAATTTGAACAATTTATAGTATTAGTAATGCACTTTTTTTATTTGGATGCAAGTAATTTGAACCAAACACTGTCATGATATGTGATTTCAACCTTCATTTGTCAAATTTTGGTATTTTTGTTCAAATTTGCAATGGGTAGGAGTAATATTTCCTTTGCCATAATATTTTGTACAAGAAAATGATATATCTCTGGGTTTGATAAGATGTCAACTATATTGTTGCATGCATGATGATCAAATCGGTTTGAGGTTATATACAAAGTTTATTTTCAAACGAAGAAAATGATAAACCTTAGACGTTCTAGAAAATCTGTAAATCCGAAATTGTCCCCTTTTTCAAAAAACAAGCAACAGTCAATAGCGTTAAGCGAGCCAGATGGTTAAATAAAAATCTGAGGTATGCTAGTTTTACTCCTTTATACTAGTTTAGTTGAAATATGTTAGGTAAAGGCTAATATTTTCAATATTGTAAGGTTTCTCGTATCAAAGTTACCCAGTTTTTGGTTTCATTGGAAAGCCAAAACAGTGTTGTATAAAATTGATGATTTAATAAAAAAAAATAGTTGGGTAATACAATGCAAAATAAGGTAAAGAACATGAAAATCTTCAAATCAGCACATTTTCCAACTTCCTCTTATTCTGGTCCGAAAATTGCCTAAAACAGATTAAACACTGTCAAATGTATTCAGTTTCTAAAATAACTATCAGAATACCTCAAGTTTTTAGTTAGTGTTTATGTTGCATGCATTCCGATACAACAAATATACGTTTGTGTTAGCATTTTTCAAGGGGTAGAAGTATATATTTAAATTGTGAGAAGAATCGTTAACAACAAAGCTAAAAACCTGATAAGATATAGAAGGCAAACTCCCTTGACTTTCATTTGATACCATACATAACTATGTACTGAACTAATATTTATAAACATAATTTAGTATAAGCATAAGGTGTAGTATTGTCAGAACGTAATGTCTGCCATCGTTAATAGGGCAGACATATTGGAATTTTTTTTCGTGGCTCCATGTCCCAAAATATTAATTAGCATCATAACTAACACGATGGACATACGCTTTTACCAGAAAGTGATCAATTATGCCGAAATATAGGACTTAGATGCTAGACCTAATATTCCATTTGCAGTTATAATGATGAATGTTTTAACAACTGTTTTTGATTTTCAATTTTGTTTTATTGGTATTTGCTTATATAGCTACAATAATGTCATTTAATTGAATTTGGCATCGATTACAAATGTCTATTTCATGATTCGACTCTTCAATCATTAAGTGGTTGAAGCTTCAAAGGAAGCTCATTAAAAAACATTGCTCTTTTATGTTCAATGCAACATATAGATATTTAAGGATAAAGCGCGATCATTTATTACAATTAAACCTTATGCTTTGTGAACAAGACGTATGGGTAAAATAAAATCGTTGATCACTTTTAAGCTCACCTGGCCCACAGGGTCAAGTGAGCTTTTCTCATCACTTGGCGTCCGTCGTCTGTCGTCCGTCGTCCGTCGTCGTCCGTCGTCGTCGTCCGTTAACTTTTACAAAAATCTTCTCCTCTGAAACTACTGGACCAAATTTTACCAAACTTGGCCACAATCATCACTAGGGTATTTAGTTAAAAAAAATATGTCCGATGACTACGCCTGCTAACCAAGATGGCCGACATTGCTAAAAATAGAACATAAGGGTAAAATGCAGTTTTTGGCTTATATCTCTCAAACTAAAGCATTTAGAGAAAATCTGACATGGGAAAAAATGTTCATCAGGTTAAGATCTATCGGCCCTGACAATTTCAGATGAATCAGAAAACTCGTTGTTGGGTTGCTGCCCCTGAATAAGTAATTTTAAGGAAATTTTGCAGTTTTTTGTTATTATCTTGAACATTATTAAAGATAGAGATCAAATGTAATCAGCGATAATGTTCAGCAAAGTAAGATCCACAAATAAGTCAACATGATCAATATGGTCAATTTACCCCATAAGGAGTTATCGCCCTTTAAAGTCAAATTTAATAATTATTCGTAAATTTTTTGTAATCTTTTACAAAAATCTTCTCTCCTGAAACAACTGAGACAAATTTAACCAAACTTGGCCACAATCATCACTAGGGAATCTAGTTTTAAAAAATGTGTCCAATGACCCTGCCTGCCAACCAACATATCAGACATGGCTAAAAATAGAACTGAGGGAGAAAATGCAGTTTTTGACTTATATCTCTGAAACTAAAGCAAATGTATAACGGATGCATTATTTCATTCATTAATTGTAAATAAAAATATCAGGTGAGCGACACAGGCTCCTTGGAGCCTCTAGTTTTTTATAACTGTTGTTATTATGTTTATGTTTATTATTTACCGTGGGTTTACCTATTGGAAATTGTTCTTTAACATGTTACAGAGGATATGATATGATGTCATACATATTCATTCCTTACATATTTCTCTGCGATATCAAGCGATCTGTTAAACTTTCGGGGTATATGTTAAAAATAATACACAAAAATATAAATGGTAATACAGCAACAAACGACCACCACTAAATTACAGGCGCCTTATATGGGATTGGTAAATGAATGCTTACACCTCATATATCCCAGTGAACTTGAGATTAAAGATATTACCGAAAGTAGAATGTTTGTTTCATACTTTGATCTTTTCCTCGATATTGATACAGTTTGTCGACTTCAAACTAGAATCTGACAAGTGTGATGATTTCAACTTTCCAAGTTTTAACTTCCCGTTTCTCATCACTAACATACCCTCTGCTCTATCGAATGACCTTTACATATTTTAGTTACTACGTTACGAGGAAACCAAGCTTTACAAATGTTGAAGTTAAAATAATAGATAATTTACGGACGAGTGTTGGTTGACAGATGTCTTCCAATAGTTGTAACTACAATCCCGTCCTCATTTCGTCGAATGTGACCCATCGAAATAGACCGGGTTTGTATGTACATCAGCAACACGACAAAGGCCACATGTTGAACAAGACCTACTCACTCTTTCGGAACACTTGAGTTGACCCCTTGTTTTTGGTGGAGTTCATGTTGATCGTTAATGTTCAATGTTGTGCTTTTCGCACTGTTGTTTGTGTTTTGATTGTTTATCGTTTTTTTCCATGGCATTGTCAATTGTTTTTCGACTGATGAGCTTTAAAATAACTTTTAAATCTATTTAACGGAATAATAAACAACTGTCATACAAGTGGAAG